GGGGGGGAGGAGGCAGCAGGCAGCAGGGGGAGACAAAGATCTTGTTACACTGGCAAAGAGAAAAGAAATTCTCAATCAGGCCTTGCATAGGACAAATCACGACTGCCGACAACTTTGTTTTTTAGATACATCCAAATAAGGGACGGTACAGGTGGTGCCACTGCTACCACCACAGCGCTGGGGCCCTGGGTTCAATTCCTGGGGTGCTGTCTGTGTGGAGCTTGCATGTTCTCTCAGTGTTCGCATGGGTTTCCTCCAGATGCCCTAGTTAACCGCCGCGCTCTAGAGCCACCCTGGTAGGTTCATTGGCCCTGGTGCCTGGTGTGGGTGTGTGTGTGCCCCACGACGGACTGGCGTCCCGTTCAGGGTGTCCCCTGCCTTGGGCCCACTGCATGCTGGGATAGGCTCCTGCTCCCACTCAACCCAGTATTGGATAAAGCCGCTAGGAAATGTATGCATGTCAATATAAACCCTTAACCATCAGATCCTTTTTTATTATGGTCCATACTGGCAATGACGCTACGATTTCAGCTCATACAACGGGACAATAAAAGCTGCTCATTTAAAGCAATGAAAAACCTTTGCATCTTTAGTCTAAGCCCCCTGCTTAAACGAATTTGCACCTGGGAGTTAAATTTATTCGATGCAGCGCCGGGTTCCCAATAATCAATTACAATTCCAAAGCATGTACACATCTGTTCTTACGAAATGGTCTCTGCGGTGTTTTGTGCACGGCTTTGACTGGGCGCCACCACCCACCGACCGTGAGCAAACCGGTCAGATCAGAACCAGTAACTCACATCAGATCAGAACCAGTAACTCGCATCAGATCAGAACCAGTAACTCGCAGGACCGTTAGCTCCTGAGGTCGGCTACCTTTTACTCTTAACTGTTCTGAGAGAAAGATTCGGTGCTGTTCAATGACGGACGGAATCCGTCGTTTATAATCCAGGACGACACCAACCTTTCTTAAACTATACAGAAGACCACACCATCTGTACTTGGTACTGTACGTACCCCCTGGTAACAATACAATGAATCACATCTTGAATGCCGCAGAAATCTGCAATCCGCCATTCAAATAAAACCCACAGCCTCGCTCATCTGGTCTTGAAAGACGAATTCACTGCAACATCTACCGATTAATAAGGACGACGAAGTGTACGAACATTTGGGGATTTTATTCGACTACGGCGACTTTCTATGCATGTTCATTATTCCAAAACAGGGCGATCTAATCTCCAACAGTATTAAAAACCCGCATTTAACTTCCTCGATGCCTCCTTCTATGTAATAAATCCGAGCACCCGTCTTCCTCTCACTAGTATCCTGGAGAAATCAGTCCATGACAGAAGAGGTTTCCTGACAAGGACACTACCATTTAAAAGAAAGGTCATGCAAGCGCAGATGTATGTTTAATTTTTTTTTACCTTAATGTTCGGGGGGTTTTTTTCTATCTCGTACCTCTTCGCCGACAGAAATGTGAACCTCTATCACAAGATCGTCATGTTTACTGTGTGGTCAATGATTTAGCCACACCCATCATGGCCGCTAAAGGGAGTGGTTGTTTCAGCCACAACCTCGATGGCCGCCGTAATCTCGCGAGATTTCCTAGGCTATAAAACCCGGCCGTGGCCGCACACAGGTCCCTTTTCTTTCGCTTTCCCACGGTGAAGGTGCAACAGTTTTCGGTCGTCCCGAATCCGGGTTCATCCGACACCAACACCGAACTGAACCGATCCTCCTCTTCAACAAGCAACTATGCCTCCCAAATTCGATCCCAACGAAATTAAAATTGGTACGTGATATAAAGGGTAACTATGGGTCCTTGGCTACTCTGAATAAAGACGTTTGTAATAACACGGTATGTACACCCTTTCCCAAACGTATTTTTAAAAACATGGATAAACCGGGACTACTTAAAGAATATACGAACCAGGGGTGGTATTGTTACTATAACGCAGCTATCTTGTATGAGTTTGTATTGTGTGCCTGTCCTAGTGGGTAGGCCCTGATTAAGGCCTAACTTGCAGTGACTTTTTTTTACGTGTTCCCCTCGCGGGGAAATAAATGAAAAATGCATAAAAGGGACAGTTTCAGTTGGAATCCAGTTTAGTTATTGTGATTTGGTGTAATTGTGCTGGACAGGACTCTTAATACCGTGGTAACAAGCGCAGCCTGACGAACACGTGGGGTGAGGAAGCAGACTTTCTTCCTGCGTGTGAGCTCGTTTCATTGAAAACCGCTGTTCGTCTTCTGCGTGGTTGGCGGAAAAAAAACATTAATTTGAAAGGCGTTAACAGTAAGTAGTCTTACCTCCAGGCTACCTGTTTCTAAACGCCTCTGCTCTCGAGTAGCCAGCGCCGCTTGCTTGATGAGCTGTCTGTGCTCATGATCTTTAGACGACTGTAAGGGCCCCTTTAAGACTCTCCTCGCTTTGATTTTTTTTTTCAAGTTCTCGCAATTTCGGTTAAAGGGCTCTAGAAACGTGGCCAAGCCGAGGTGGCCTGACTGGAGATCGATGCATCGAAAAGTACCAGGTGTTTTTTTTTTAACCTACTGCGGATGCAGTTTTGCATTGGAGTCATTGCTCCACATT